TCATTTTAGTTAATGTTATGCGGATGTTAGCTGCAGCTGTTTTTTACTTGTGAAAAGCTCGTGACTCGTGATAGGGCAAATATTGAAACTCAACAACATCAGTGGTCGTGGTGTAAGTAGATCATGGAGGACGGTTTCATTGATAAATTAAAGATCTTAGTGCTATAATGTTGCCACTTCTAAATATAAATAGATGGTGTTGCTGAAGTAAATGAAATAAAACAATATTTAATATTTAATTACTTATTGCTTTTCATAAACGTGTGCAACTTTGTCGATAAAATGTATTAAGAAATCTCTGCACAGTACTCATATTACGTTAAATTCGTTACTTAATACGATACTGAGGTTAAGGGCCACGGAGTTCTTTGCTAACCAGATTTTTGGTTTAGTAGTATGATATAAATACAAACTTGATATCAAAATTCCTAAAATGTTATTTGTATAAGTAGATACTTAGGCTTGTAACATTTCCGTGAGCAACTAACATTATTAATGCATGCTTTCTAAAAACTTTAAATACGTATGAAATTGTGCATTTAACAGGTGTAAGTATGCGCATACGTCGCGCAGTAGCAGCTTTTGTAAACATTGGCGCATGATTGCTCACTCAGACGCGGACTCGAGCCACTTCACGGTGCGACCTCACGCGTCACGCCATGAACTGGCGACAAATATTTGTTTAGCCACTGTTCGACAAAACGGAATATTTATCTTCACGAATCTAGGTGCTTTGGTTGTATTATCCATTGATTACATTGCTAAACATTTATAACAATTATAATATCAAACGTATTACTACTAAGTATTACATAAATGTCAGCTCCGATTGTTATACTGAACGGAACTATCATAATTTTATATAGAAGTATTTGCTTTTCAGAAATAAAAAAAACATCGATTACAATTTTAAATGCGATTATGGGTTAAACATTCGATATGGACTTGAGATATTTGAGAAAGGCCCCTAAGAAGTGAAATATCGATATTTTAATACGTAGAGATAAGATAACTTAATTACATAAAGATGTACATATAAAATATACATACCGTACAGAAGACAGATATGTACCAAAGTAAAAAGTGAGTAAGTAAATTAAAAAGTAAGTCGAGTGCAGGTCCGTTTCTCCTCATGATTGACGTGACAACTTGATCTGGCAGCTCGGCCGGCGCTCGCGCACGCCCGCGTCATACGCCAATGAAACAAAAGCTTTATCTCACGCGGATGAAGCTGGGAGGTCGGACTATGATCCAAATAAATTTGTTGATGATTTTTTTTTAATTTATACTGTTCTGTTGTCCAGGCATTATAAACTATGTAATACTTAAATATTTAAATCGAATTTTAACAAATACTGATTAGAAAACACGTATGTACGTCTAGTTGTCAATTAGTTTCTTTGAGATTTCTTACGATAGTCGTAGTTTTATATTATGCTCATAAATAGACGCTTGTAAATACGAGTACTTGTAATTGCTAACAATAAAATAGGTATCCACAGATTATGTTGCTGCAAATAACGTATTCTGTGCGATACAAACGACGTATTTAAAATCCGAAGTTTATAGGGCGAGTAACTCCGGTATCGTTGGGGATTAAATGTGCGTTTGGTACAATTTATTACTAACCATCGAGTATTTTATCATATAAACAGTATTATAAGTTACATGATAAATATCTTTACCTGGCAGACACATGTGCTTGTGAAAGTTAAATGTAACTACGAAGAGTTCAAAGTTCTGCATTAATTACAAGTTAGCTCCGGAACCAATTGAGACGTTCGATCGATTCATTATTATAATTACACGTACCACGTACTTATGCATATGTATCCAAATAAATATGAGTATAACAAAATAGCAAATAACTTTATACGTATAGTTTATTAGTTATTTTCGCTTCAAGCACAAAAAAACATACACAAGGTGGTCACGGAAAGAATGCCCAAGATATTAAATAGAAAAAATACAGTTTACAAAACGGACTAATGTAATTACTATTGGTCGTTATATAAAGACAGTATTAAATTTACGTCTTGTTTAATTATAAAATCAATTCATACGATAATAACTAGAAGGATTCTGCAGAGCTTTCACAAACGTCGCCATGTTTTCATTGTGGTTAAATTCGTGCGTGTGATTGACATGAACTGCTCTGGAAATATCAGTCAAGTCGGCGAGATTATAGCCGAACATTAATGAAGAAAAGCATTCGAGAAAATAACATTAAATAATGACAGCATGTCGAGCCGGCACGGCGGCCTACTCCATCGCGGAATGCAGATCGAGAGCACTTGTCCACAAACCTGCGTAATGTTTTTGCAATCGGCAAACATGTATTTTTGTTAATTAAACTGCGGGAACTCGTTCACACCGATAGATGGATAATGAGAATCGATTTATATTTAGTCGAGCAATGGAATGTCGTGTATGGTGTTATTTACATAGTGAATGCGGGTGCAGATAACGTGACTCGTGACTATGATTATAGAGCTACATTATATCGTGCGCTTAATGCAACGCCGGCCTGCGTAATGTTCACACAATGGCTCGCTTCTTACAGTGAAAATGCACCGACTAACGCGGAAAAGAAATCCATAGTACCTACTGCACGACAAAAGGGTGTTTTCAGTCTTCCAATGTGGTTATTGGCGACATATTAGTGAATTTCATTAGCGTAACAGGGTATGCGAGCGTATGGAAGCAAAGGCGTGAGGCTGCGCGACGAGCGTGTGTTGAAGGCTATCGCGGTCGGTTTCACCTCGCACTTGTATCTTGTGATCTCGTCGCGGAGGCGTTTCGCGCGCCTTTTTTGGAATAACTCGAGCAAAATTCGTCGGAAACTTTTATTTTACTTCGCGCAAGTTGCACTCAAAAATCGGATTTTTATTTTAATGAGCCAGTTTCACGTCGGCTTCTCGCTCGCACCCGCCGCTGCACTGAATAAATAAATGAGTTGCTCTACTTTCTATGAGATCGTTTCTTTGGGCGGTCCGATGAGACTCGCCTGTTACGCAGCGCGGCTTTGTGCAGCGGCGCTCGTGCCGGCCGCGAGCCGCCGCAACAACGCCGAGCGTCGCTTGCGCATCAACAACATTGCTCTTTTCTACCTACACAATAACACTTCTATTATTTATAAAATACGTTTCAGTCACGATTTCTATAGATACCAGATTTCTTTGCAGGAAATGTCAGCCATTCTAAGTCTACGTGGGTAGTCAAAGTGGCTGTTATGTGTTATCTAGTGTACATACTCGTAGTTGATTATAATAAACATTTTTGTAAAGACACCATTTAACTATTTCCAAATACAGACCTAAATGGCTCACCACTAATATTCACAGCCTTGTTCATAGAAACTTAAGTTCAAAGAAAATTATTTTATAATATGAAAAGTAATTGGACGTCATAGTTGCTGAAGGCCGAGTTCCGGGGTTTTCTACTAATTTGTTACTTGTCCACCATTATGTATTAGTATTACATATAAATTATGATTATCTTTTCTAAGAAACTGTCTATTTGTTGAGTTATCCTGTATTCCATTCATAGGTCTTAGTTCCGCAACATTACTGTTCAATAACATACGGTTTCTATAGCGTGGTGGAGCATCCTTGTAATTATGTCCATAAAGCAAGCAGAGCAGTGCCCACGCACAAGCCTTTAATGTTGTCATCTTAGCTAAATCATCATTACAATTTGTACCATTTGTGATCTTCACGACTGTAGATCATAAGAGCAAGACTTGTTAAATGTTCAACTGCCTGCTTTATAGTTTTGGATTAGCATGATGTGTGGTTGTAAATCACGTATTAAGAATGACTTTTATTTATTAACTGCTAGTGTTGCTATTCGTACAAACATTACAAACTCCCCCTTAATTGAAACATTTTCATCAAGATAGAAAATAAGGAAATGCTCAGCTAAGATATTGAAATATAAATTAGAACATGTAAAGCGATTGAATGCGCCGATTATGCAAGTGAGTTAAGCATCGATACGGGTTTATGCAAGACTCACGTATCATACGATACGACACTTATTGGTCGCGCACAGAGCTTGTTGCCTACCGGACATGGAAAGGACTTGGTATTATTAGTGCAATGCACTTGCATGCGTCACTACGCGAAGGACACGCTTTGTCTGGATCAGGTGGTCGCACAGCAGGTGAGGGGGCGCGGGCGCGGGGTACGCGGGGGGCGCGCCTCGAGGCCGCTTCCTGTCGCAGGACTGGTTCTGCGGTTTGCACCACTTTTGTTTTGCACCAGTTTCAAACTAAACAAACAACCTTTTAATGTTTAATCCACCAGTTTATGCACGTATGCACAATAACTTCGCATTCATATACACTTACATAGGATTCTGGTGAATGATATATGTGGAGTATCATTGGAGTGAAGTGAATTTAACAGGTTGATTCTACGATACGAATCTTGATCTATGAAACTTATTTCTTAAGGCTCCTCAGATCTCAACTACTTTAATTATAAACCTATAACCTATAAGACCTAACGAGTTCATTTATTACTGTACTTCCAATCCAGCATCATTGTGCTTTAAATATGGAGCAAGTGATTGCATTCCACATTTATGGCCAATGATATTGTCGAGAAAGTCGGCGGTGTTTATTCCCCTTGAAACTCGTATGCCGAAATGTTTGATAATAAAAACCAATTTTCTCTGAATATTGCAGCAAATCATCGCTTTACAATCCGCAAAACCTTCTCAGAGCCTTCATTCAAGACCAATTTAACGATATTATTGAGTTTCAACAATATTCTTTGTTATTATTTTGAATATAACGTTTCCGTTGGTTGGATTGCATTTTAGACATTCCCTTGAAGCGTCTTACATATTACAAAAGAGTTAACACTTTTTTTATAATTTAAAACATGGTTGCTATCACAAGTCAACGCAACTACGAATTTATCATTAAATTTAGAATTTTAAGGTGGCGTACCATTTCTCGATGCAAATTAACAATAGATTTATTTTTATTGCAGATATAAACACGTCAGGTGTCACATCAAACTAAAAGGTGAGCCTCATATAATTTTATGGATTTACACTACATCTGACTAAGTGACATTTCACACTCGTCGTATTGTCAAGGTTCTAACAGGAATGAGAAATGACGTGAATGTTACATGACTTTACAACGAAGGTGAAAGTCAATCGCAAGTCATCTCGTCTGTATGCACCTCCGCCGCTGCTGCTGCTCATTGAATCTGCAACGAACTGAATAAATGAATAGACTCGTATGAACGATGAACAATAACATATCGAGGAGTACTGAAGTCGCTGTCGACCTGGACATCATTGTCAGTCGTCACACAGCGGCTTTAAAAATGATTTATGAACGCTTGAACGCTTTTATTTTTTGTTGAAACACAATTATATCGAGTTGTTGTTCCTGGTGTCTGAGAGCGGCCTCACACCATCGCGATATGTTAATACTTTCAACAAGCATACCAGGCCAGCTACTTGGCTGACAATGCTTTTGTTCAAGTATGGCTTGAGCTCGATTTATTAAGGCTTCGTGGATTTTATTACAGCAAAAAATAACATAAATTGGGTCGATTTATGGCCACTAATTTCCACATCACTTCATCCCATAACCGCTTTATTGGAGTTTTAAATTAATCTTTTATTTGTTCGGGTGTACTTGTACGTGATTATTATCATGGTGGTTTGGACATTGCCCAAATACAATCTTAGTAAATATTGAGGTTGCGAGTATAATCGCATTCGAGTCCGAGGATGCTAAAAACGCTGTTTTGGCCATGATTTTATGCCGTTACCGTAGGGCAAGAGTCAAGGGCAGGGCACCGGGTGGTCCGCTAAATCGCAAAGCTCTTCATACTCGTGTAAGCAGACAGTCAACCTGTATTAACCTTTTGCGTGAAACAGACGTGACGTTTGCGTCAATATGTGCATATAGATGCCATATTTATGCATATTCGATTGAAAAAAGTATGATGAATCAGCTTCCATCCTTGAACTTACACAACTAAAAGCAAGCTGTAAAATAATTTCTAAACGAGTATATTTATGTATAAATATTTTGTGTGCATAAATTAATTGATTATTACAATACCGGATATGTTAGGAACAGGTTATAACTTCCAAAGACTGTAATCAAACTCACCATGCTCTTTTAAAAATCAAATCGCGCAAGTGATGTCAACTACGTTTTTAAGCTAGGAAGGAAATAATCCCGTGAACATTACAAAACAAATTTATAAGAAAACATTTTAAAATAAAATTGCAGCAGTCGACTTCAACTCCAATTTCCAAAGCTAGCACTCAAATAATTTTACATACCTAAGACTAAAACACGTTTGCTTTCATTAGTGTTAGCAGCTTTCGCTATAGTTTGCAATCGTACTACAATATTTTTAATCTTATTGAAATAGAAATAAGACTCAGACTTCGATCAATCACTTTTTATTAAAATTTCATTCCGATCATAATGATGATGATGCTTCATATCCTTTTGCTTAATATGGAAATAGCAGGTTTATCTGACCATATTTTACATTACAATTTTATTCGTTTCTTAGTATCTATCATAAGAAAAAAAAAACAATATCAATAGGTACATATACATATGTAATTTTATTATGATTAGTTACAAAAATATATTAAGAAAATTAAAAATTATTATTAACCTATTTAAGTAATAAAAAAGGTGTTTAACATAAAATAATACGTTCCAACATTTCAAAAGCATATTCATTTTTGATTGATTTCAAGTTTGGAGTACAGTTCATATTTAATATTAAACATTAAGTCAAATATTAACTTGATTTAATGCCATTAAGTGCTTTTAGGTCTAATTGCTCAATTACTATTAGGTACTAATGCACTTACGTATTTTTTTTATAAAAACACCGCTAAGGAACCGACTCATCTAATGCTTTGCTAGACTTTTCTTGTACAAGTTTTTTTATAATATTTTCTTAAATGACCAAAGACTCATTAACCCGTTAGATGGTCCGTAACAAAAAACCTTAACCGTGAATCTCCGGCAGGTTTAGGCATCAGGTTACTCGATGCTTTTTGTTCTTTTACGAGTCGGCGATTGTGACGTAACAAAGCAATTTAGCGACTTGATAACAAATACTTGTCTTTCCAAACTATCGAAAATCTTGACAAAAACATATTTAATTCTGTGGTTAACTATGTGCAGCTTCTATATAAAAATGTTCTACTAATATGTTAATGTTCATTAACTTAAGAAAAAAACTTTTTAAATAGTTCTGTAGTAAGTCGATCACGTTTTACTAAATTGTGTTCAAAATGTAATCTGACAAACAAACACGATTTTTAGTTGTAGTTGAAAAGCTGACATTGTTTCGTTTTGTGCAGTTGTCAGTTTTATTGATTGTACGAATAAATCTGACGTGTTTGTCGGCCATCAATAACTTTCCATGTAAAATAATTATGTGGCTATCTATATTCATAATAGTATTATAAATCTGTGAAAAAAATGACGTGCAAAATAATTTATGAAAAAAATATGTTACAAACGATGATGTATTGGTTTGAGATTTGTTCGTAGAGCAGTAGTAGTAGTGTCAGTGGCTATACATACATACCTATTCACGAATATTGTATGTATTGTTTTTAATGACTTCGCTCCATTTATTTGACCTACTGTAACACCGTTATTTTTAGAGCAAGCTCTCAGCACCGAACGAGCTCGTTTATCAACCAATATCTGCGCAAATATCTACAACGTTACCGTGTCTCCGCGTCTCTACAATATTATAATTACGCGCAATGTCGTAAGAACATTATTGTTAGTCTGAAACAAAAATGTTAGCATGCGTTTACCACAACTATTAATAACGTTCATAAAAAAGAAATAAAACTTTGTCTGACTTAAAAAAACACAAGTTGGCATGTTGCAAAACGAGTTTACAAATTTTATGAGGTTGTATTGCGCACAGTTAGGTACTATTTGTGCGTATTATGTAGTTCGTGAAATTTTATACAAAACCCTATATTGAACAGTTATAATCTCGCTATAGCCGAGAAACCTGAAATCTAATACGTTAATTGCTGGAACACACATAAAACTAAATCTTTTGAATAAACTCGTGACACAGATATATGAATGTAATTTTAGCTAACATCAACGCCGTTAACAACCTTTATTGCTTCCACGAAAAGTTCTATTCACAGAGGTCTATATCATTACGATTTTCACTTTCGTGGTGAATCATTTCTTTGAACGTGTAATTGAATGGACAAATAATTCCCAGTTAACACAGAAGAAGCCGACTGCAGATGACAAATTATTGTTACATTAACAACTGATTAATGTTCCTATATACAAAGTATTCAGCATTCAAATCAAATAAACTATGTACACAGTTAGGGCGCAACCAATTTTTCGAAGTGAACAGCTACATGGCGAGTACAAACTCATAAGCTATGCATGAGCTGTACAGTATACAAGACGTATCGCGCGTTGATGTCTTTTCCATGGCACTGCTTTTAATGGAACTTCATAATAAATAGTTATGCATTTATCTTCAATATACATTTATCCTTTGTAGCTAGTTAACTGACATTTATTTTAATAACAAGATATAATGATCGTGTTGTATCTATGAATCGTTTTACGACTTTGGTACTTATTACACTACTAAACTTTTATACCGAGCACTTTGGTACTGTAATTGCTTACACAATTATACGTTTTTAAGATTATTTACGCAATTTTAGTTCTTGCGTAATTTGACAAGGGTGTTAGTGGCTTAATTTATAATTTGAAAGCTTGCTTTTAATCAGCACTTGGAAATTTTAATTTGTTTTGATAATAATCCAAGGCCAGCTGATGTGGGGAAAACAAAATGACGTGTGCCAGGCTGCCAGGTCAAAGCATTTTATAATAAAACTATGAAATGGAAACTGTCAAGCATTGTAGCGTGGTATGCAGGACCAATTAATATGGAATGTTTTTATTTAAATGAGAGCAGAGTGGTTTAGTTTCAACGATTTTTATCGCTGGCTTTGTAGGCTGTTAACTAATGAATAAAATACAGCTTTATATTAACATAAAGCACACTTCTGTAAACTTGACTTGAGGAAAGCAAGTGTGATGAAACCCTTACGCCGAATAGCTTCTCTTCTTAATACAACGAAGTAAGAAACTTGATACATAATATTGAGGACTCTTAAAAATGGCTCGACTGAATCGGAAACTCCATTGGAACAATAATAATATAGTGTCAGTGGTAAAGTGGAACAAGGAACTCTCGTAGTGGCGACTGGTACGTTGAACCTCCCGGTGTGGCAGTGTGTGTGCACGCACACTGCTGCGCACACTGTTCACACGCGCTGCGATACACTGTATACTACACACGTCAGTGTCACTGTGTGCGGCTAACAAATGTGTGTAAGTACTTTAATCTGATTCATGGCGCGGTACGTAGGTAAGGCGCATGATGTTTGGCAGAACATGTTACGTTTTATTAATATCTCATATATTCTCATATACATAAAGTCCAAATTTCGATTCACACAACTCGATACATTATTTCACAGAAAACAAATTCTGATATGATTCGTATTGGAATAATTAAGTTGTTACAAATACGTGGCTTCGGTATCTAAATTAATGTTTGCGAAGCATTTGATTTAGGCACTAGCTTCGTGCACGCTCCGAACGCGTTGCTGTGAGTACTGCGGGCACTCCGAGCCTCCGAGCACGTTGCCCGAAGGCACTCACTTGTACTTTGTCGAAGCATAAACAAGAGTTATGTCGCTGTAACTCCGAACTCGCATATTTATTAAAGGGAAGCGTGTTCTGACTTAGGACTATAATAACTCGCTGTTATTAATACAACATTAGCGTATAAGAATCAGAAATCTAATGGCCATTTAACGACTTATCCAATATCTTGGTTCTAACTTCCTTAATTTGTTTTCATTTATTACTGTTTGTCAGTGCACTGTACTGGATTTAATGTCGCTGTAAAATGTTTTATGTCTTATAATGATAGTTAATAGTTTTCTTTCGTTGTC